GGAGAAGGTGTGTCCTCAGTCTGGAACCCTCTTTGTCTCAGTAAGACAAGTTTAACAAAGCTACAAAAGCATTACAAGGGCTCTGCCAGAGCATCCACAGCTCAGCACCCAACAGGTTGGCTTTTACTGTAATGACATGGCAGGAACAGTCAGGAAAAGCAGGGCTCTCATCTCTCCTTCTCAACCAGGCCAACTACTCAAACAGCATTTCCTAACTTGCTGTCTCCCATTTCAAGAGGCCCAGTGTGTACTTATTAGGCAAGCTAACTCTTTTCCATCAGCCTCATCCAATGCACCAGTGTTCCTCCTCACACAGCAGCTGTTCTGCCCTTCCCACTCCACCCACACTGCTGAGCATCCTGTAGGAAAGGCTGGGGATACATCAGGAAAGATCACCGTGGAAACACAATGAAGACAGTGAAGAATGTGCCATACAGTGAAAGCCCACAGAAACTTAAGCTTATAATTGAGAATGGTCTGATGGGTGGACATGTACTGTTGACTTGGATAAAAACCTCCTCAGCTCAGCTGATAGGAAGGCAAACACCATGTTGGACTTGGTGAAATGGAGCACATGCAGAGCAGAAAGGAATGCTCAGGGATGCAGTGAAGGTGGCTCCCATGTTCAGCTGTGTGGGAATTATCTGTTCAAAGAGCCGAGAACAGGATCATAGAGAGTTTTCCACTGCTGTCCAACTCCCAAGTGAAAAACATGCTTTTCCAGGACATAAGGAGGAAGAATAACTTTTCTAATTGCATCCAAATGGACTTTTCCTGTTACATATTGTCCACGTTCAGCAAATCAGAGACTGCCTTCACAACTGAGAGCAAGGTTTCTGGTTCAGGCTAGTCAGGACCCTCCCAGCTGACACTTGTTCTACATCTTGATAAAAACCTGCTGCTTTTAGACAGGATGTAAGCCAGTTTCTAAGATAAAAGACTGTGGCTCCAGTAAAGTTGTCCCTAGTTCCCCTGCAAACAGCAGGAGCAGGGGATGTGCCACAGAAACAAGAGGTGCCCCCTGCTATTGTCTTGTCAAAGGATATCAGCAGGACTGGGCTGGCACCAAGAGAACAGGCTCAGGACAGGACAAGCTGCAGCCAGCTCAGTTCACACCCAGGTGAAGCACCAACCCAGGCTGGCTCTTCAGGAGCAGCTGCAGATGGAGCAGAACAACCCAGTGTTGTTACTGAGGACCCAGTGCCATTTGACTGGATACTAAGGAAACATACCAACAAGCCCCATTCACCACTCAGTTTTACACTATTCCAACTTTTTTTCCCTATAAAAGGATTCCTGGGTGAATGATTACAGAGTACCACACTACACTCAAGTACATGACTAGTTTAGCTTCAAGGAACCTCAGCTCGAGATCCTGAAAACTGAAGAGAATCCAAAGCACTGGGAAAACAACCAGCAGCTCAGGCCCAGAACTGAACACTAACATTTGCCTTTGTGTCACTCAGCTGCTGCTCCTGCTTTGTAAATCACACTGCCACACCAGCTAGGGCCACAGATCAATAATTAAATAGCTCTGGATGGTAATTATTGCAAAAGGAGAGTAGGGAACAACCATTTCTAGAATCAACAAAAGGAACCAACATTTTTCCCCAGTCTTACTTAGCGACCTCAATATCCACATGTTGTTTAATATTTTAAAATGTTATGGAAATGAAACCTCTGTATTTCTAAGTTTCCAACCCTGGCATTCTGCTGAATTAAGCAAGCAGAGGGGCAGTGAGTGTAAAACAGTGAGAACCAAGAGAAGGAAGCTGGTGAAGTGTTCCTTTACCCAGCTCTAAGGGCAGTCTGTGTAAGCACAGTTAATGTAAATGCAGTGCCCATAGCCCCAGGCTAAAGCAGAGGCTCCAACCAGCAGTTCTGCAGCCCACAGCCAGATAACTCTCTTGGAATAAGAACTCTCATCTTCTGTACACAGCAGATTTCCTCTGGGGAATCACGGGGCACAGCCTGGAGCAGAGCACCTCAGGAGCTGCACTTCAGCCCCAGGTCATTTGGAATATTTATTAAGTGGGAAATCAGCAGCAGCGCACAGGAAAGGTTTAGAATTACTTGCTGATACACATGAAGGTGGGGTGATTTGTCTACTTTGAATAACAGAATCATTAAGGCTGGAAAAGACCACTAAGAGCCCAGCCAGCACTGCCAAGGCCACCACCAAACCACATCCCCAAGTGCCACCTCTATACAGACTTTAAATCCTTCCAGGAATAGTGCCCCAACACCCTTTATAGATTCTCCTCAGCCCTCCTTTTGTTGTTTGTCCTGTTGGTTTTATGCTTTTACAGCAGTACCCAGGGTAAGTTTTAGTTGGGCTTTGGCCCTTTTAGTTTTCTCCCTGTATGGCCACACGAGATCCTGGTAGCCCTGCTGAGTTTCCTACCCCTTCCAGTTCATTCTGGAAGAACAAAAAGCCAAGTGTTACCTGCTAGCACAAGCCCAAGCTTACACCTTCTAATCTGTGAACACAGGCCCCAGCCTGGAAAAGTCTCAGATAACTGCACAGAATACACCTGATAAATTTTATCAATTATCTCAGATTTAGGATTTTAAATCTAAAAATCACATACCTTTTGAGACCAGCAGATGATGAGCACTCCTCAGGCTTCCTTACAACGATCTCTTCAGGGGTAAAGTGGGTCTGGGCTCACAATATATTTAACCATGTGCAGGTGTACCTTGGAAAGCCGTTAGGTTCTGCCCCACCATGGGTGGCTGCGCTCCCCAACACTCAGGGGTCACCAGGAGCACCTGTGTGTGGGCACTGATCTCCAGGAGCCCTGGAGACAGGGGAGCCAATTCTGCAATCCCAGCTGCAAGAGCTTAAGGGCAGACAATGGCTCACACCAGTGGGGTTTGCCCCACCCACAGCTCCAGCACATTTGATCAGCCTCCATTTTTATAGGTAGCATATTTTTGGGGCTTAGTGACTTCCTGCCATTATTTCCACTTAACACAACAGAGTGGACATTAACAGCTTGATTCTGTCACTGCTTCTGAATCAAAGCAGTTCAAGACCACAGAGATCTTCCAGACATCCCTGTTGTATCTCTGGTCAAGTTTTATTCTCAAACAACCTGGAACAACCATGATCCATTACTTCCTTGGGTTTACTTTCCTTGGTGCACTCGTATTTATATAACAGTGTAATAAAACTCTCAAGAGCTCAGATCCCATCATACTGTTTTGTGATAACCTGACTAGGACTTGTACACCCTTCACACATTTCACCCTGCCAGCCACCCCCCGTGGCCCTTCCTGTCATCCCAGGGTCTGTAGGTGCCTCTTTTCCTTGGACACTGCTAAGACAATGTTCATCTCCAAATAACTCACAGGCAATTTCCTGTTTAGTGACAAGTCTATGGCAACCCCAGCCTGCGAGAGCATCTCTGTTACACAGTGACTCAGAAGTGATGCTTAGGAAAAGTTTTGCAGGTTGGAGGCAGAGTTATTTGAACATACAACAGGGAGGTCAAAAGAAGACTTCCCTGCCCTCTTGGTACATGTTGGTGCAATGAGCTCATGGGCTGGGGGAGCAGAGCCTTACCTGGGTGGCACAGGTGGAATTTCACTGCAGTAGAACTCGGAACAGCCAGTACAAGAGATGACTGCTCTTTGTTATCCCTGCTCCTTCCTCTGCTATTTGTGTGTGTTTATTGTTGCCAGGTTATAATGCCACTGCTGTGTTTGCTTTACAGTACTTGGGGGCAGTTTTGTGTTGCGTGGGACACACATGAACAGTGACTGATCAGGGGCAGGCTTATTACACAGAGAAGGATTTAGTACACATTAGTTCAGAAAGAAAACAGGTGCCAAGGCAGCATCAAAGTCATAGTGGAGGATTGCAGCTTTGAAATAGATCTCATTATAAACAAACAGGTTCACTTACAGATTTTAAAGACCTTTGCTGAACTTGTGCTGAGAGCTCTTATCTGTGTGTTCAGGCTGTTCTCAAAAGCTTCCTGTCTGAATCAGACATGGTGACGTTGTTCTGTACTGGCTGCAAACATGTCTTGCCCGAGAAGTCCCTGGCCTGAGCGGTACTTTGTTAGCAATGTTCTCTTCCTAAGCTACCTGGTTTTCAGACCTGTGCTGCACGGGATAAACTCAAACAGGAGCAAGTGAGACCCCCAGATTTTGCCTAAAAGGCAAAAGTTAGACGATCAGCAAAAGAAAATAAATTTCAACTGAAGAACAAACATGCAATCTTTTTAGAGCTAGCAGAACTTAGCTATGCATTGCACTCCTAGTTGCTCTACCAATGATCTTGGCTCTAAAGTCTGGATAGAGATAAATCATTATTTATCTGCTTGCTCAGCACATGACTTATCAATGACCTGTACTACATGAAGCATTATTTAAGGCATTCATGGACCAAAATAAATTTTTCTGCAGCAGTTTACATTAGATATTAAAGCTGGTCTATCAGAGCATTTAAGGTCCCATTCCTGGATTACAAGAACATATGAAAAAGGCATTAGGAAGCGGGGAGAGGAAAAAGAACACAGGCCAAAGCAAGAGGAGTAGTGCTGGAATATGCAGAAAAAAATAGGAAACAAGGTGGCTTGTAGACATGGGAAAAAACCAGAATTAAGCTCCAGAGCAGAATTTGGAGACAACACAAACAGGAGAATCAACAGAACCACGGCCGGACAACTGAACCAAATGGAAGGACCCAGCCAATTTGGCTTTCCAGAGAGATGAGAGTCCTGGGGATACAGTCGTGTGCTGGCAGAAGCTGTGAGGAAGTAAATCCCAAGTCTCAGGAGTTTCTCTACATTTAAAGTACATAGTGCCTTGGGTTTGGATCCTGTAAATTCTGTTGCCTTGAATAAAATGAAGCCTTCGTATTGGTTTCAGTAATACAATGTATAAAAGGTTAACACAAATATCTATCCACAAAACCTCCCACAAAAACCTGCAAACACTTCACTTATGGCAAATTGAGACTTCAGGGAGATTTCTGCAGGATGCCCAAATCCAATCAGGAACTGCAGCCCTTGCAAAAGTAAACAAAACACTTGCCTTAAGAAGCCAAAATTAAGTGTATAGCTTTTCCACTCATGCCTTCATCTACTTTTTCTTATGACAGCCATCCATGAGAGCATTACTGCAAGTAGAACAATTCAGGTTGTGTTCCAGCGTCCAGGAAATGCCATGTGGTTATGACCCACCAAACGAGGGCCTCTTGTATGCAGCAGCCACAAACAACTCCCAGCAAACAGCACTCCAGCACTAAACCAAGTCTTTCAAAACCATCTGACAGCGGTGTTTAATGTGACTGAGTTGCTATCAAAGGACAACTTTATTGATCAAACACGAATTGAATGAAGGACCGACCGAAGGCAGCACAAAGGTGTTCCAAAGGGCACATGGGAAGCAGGTATGAAACACATCTGGAAGGAGCTGTACAAGGGCAGGGGGCACTCAGGGCAAACAATTTTCTCTGGCAAACTGCTCAGACACAGGTTAACCTCTTAAGTGATCTGGGCACTAATGCAACAGAAACATCCTTTAGCAAGTCCCGCGTGAAGCACTGCAGACACAGCTGCAGTCACTGTCACGCTTACATCGGAAAAAATAAATAAGAAATCAGCAACAAATTCTTCTCTATAATACAAAGTGTGTTTGTCCTCCATGAAGTCACAGGAAGTTCTAGAGGAGGAAGGTTACTCCTAGGGCAGCTAAGGATTCACTAAGTCGTTCTTGGAAAGAGCTGTCAAACATGCCACCGATTTCCTCTCTCAACTCCTGCAGCAGAGGCACTGTGGACTTACCATCTGCATTCAGAATTGTCCCAAAAAGTTTACTCCAGAAATTGCTGTCAACAGTCCTAAAACAAACAGAGCAGTGTTCAGTGGAACAGTACACATACACAACACACACACGTCTGTCAGAGTCTGCATTTATATTCAGGACTTAACATCCTGGGAGATCCACCCCTGAACTACTCCTTCCAATCGAGACACACTAGGAATGCGTGGTTCATTTTATATGTGTGGGCCCCTTGCTCTCTCTCCAGGAGGAACGACACACATCTAAACCCCACTGTTTGTGCTGTTACCTCTTTTGGTGCCCCTGAGCACCATCCCCATTCACACTGAGCCACAGCACTTCTCATTTCAAGGAGTTAGCAAGAACAGTTTTGAACCAAACTTGGCAGCTCCTTTCACAAAGAAGGGGTAGAGGTAAATCTTGTTTCCCCACTTGCAAGCTAAGTTAACAGGGTAGTATTAAAGGAAAGCTACAAGAGAAATAAAATTATTTTTTCAAAGGTGTTTTACAGCCAGTTTTACTTCATTTTTTCCCTGCCTTCCATCTGCCAGAGTTCTGTATCGATAACATTTCAGAAACAATTCACAGTAATAAATCCCCTCTCTCCCAGATGTACCCACACAACACGAATAAAAAGGTTAAGTGACTCATTTAAGTCTCAGCAAACTGATATCAGAGCTAAGCCTTTGTTCTTCAGTCTTGCATTGATACTGACTACTGCAGCACTTTCTCCCCCGAGCCAGGAGGTACAGTGGCTTGGGAAAAAATCATCTGCCTCTGCTTTATATAAGTGACTCACCAAACAGCAGCAGCCAGAGTCTCAGAAGGAACCCAGCCTGTACAATTACACTAGTTAGTCTTAAATTTGCTAAAATAATTAAGTCATGTAGAACCTAACCCAGCAAAAAATATGCAAGACTTGAGGCCATTTTCTCCGTGGGCTTAGATGAGTAAGAGGCATAGCAGAAGAGATTAAGTGTCGGTAAGGACGTCTAAGGAGTTCTGAGTAACAAAAAGAGTCTGAAAAATTCAAACGCAGCTTCTATATCCTACCTCACAAACTTGCACAGATGAAGTTTCCTAAAAACCAGAAAAACTAAGAGGACTCTGGGAACTGAAACATCCCCAAATCCATTCCTTAATAATGGTAAACCTCCTCCCATTCACCTTTCCCTAAGTCTCTATCAGTTTCAGAAGCAAAGCACAAGACAGGATGGAAAAGAAATTCCTTATAACTCCCAGGTTAGGAACTGATGCACCCAGGTGAGCAATGAGCCATTCCAGCCTGGTTCCATCTCCACAGAACTCATGCCCAGCTTCTTCCTTCATCTCCTCTAGCCCTTCCCAGGTCTCACTACTCTTCTGCCCAAGTCTCCCTCGAAGTTCTACCTCTATCAGAATCCTTACTTTTTTGATCCAGTGTCACCAGCTTTTACTGCAATTCCTTTCCAATTGACCCCTCCCCTCCAAACTCCAATGACAGTCAGCCCTATCCTTCCAAATTCAGACTTACTGCTCCTCCTGCTCCAGTTATCCAGACAGTTATTGCTATTCTCCCCATCCCCACATCCTGATCAGGTCCCCAACACCATGTTCCAGCCTTCTCAACTCAGGCCTTGTGTGGCTTCATCTGCAGTAGCTCAATGTAATCTCTTGCAGAATTGAAAAGGAATCAGTAGTAGAAAACCAGGTATTCCTCCCCTTACACAGCAGCAGATGAGGCTTTCCCCAAAGGCTGAACACAACCAGCTGGGAGGTGTGAGCAGTGCAGGTTGCTAGGGAACTGGACAGCTCCACACTGGCACAAGCTTTCCTTAAAGCAGCGCTGTCAGGAGTGTATCCACACAGGCACTGCCACCAGTATCCATGATCCTGAACACAGGAACTGCTGTCATGGGGGGAGAGCTCTGGAAAATCCTTATGAAGTGCCAAGGCAAAGAATGCTGCAGGATGTGACTAAGAACATGAACAAGTCTAAGAACCAACAAAGAGCAGAGGAAGGCAGAGCAATCCTCCAGCCATAACACATGGCTAAAAGAGAGCAGTAGCAATTCATACCTGAGGACAAAAAGCAGCTTCCAAAAGAAGATGTTTGCACTTGCATCTTAAACGACAGTTGTGGAGGATGTGTCACTGAGCAGCATAGCTCAAGAATGGTTAGCAGATAAGGGTCACTGAGAAATGGGTCCCTGAGAAATGGAATGTTCTTTGGGAGTTGTCTCCTTGATCATGTAGCAGAACAAGAATCAAAAGGAAGACCTTGTACTGCAGATAGGGAAGAAGAGTTAAATTGTAGACATAGCTATGCACAAATGTAAGCAGTTTTAAAGATTAACCAATCATGAGCTTGGCTTTTGCAATATGTATGAGCTTATTAAATGCCTTATAAAAATGACTGCTTATAGACAATAAACAACCGCACTTATTGATCCTGAGGTCGTTGTGTCGTTCCTCCGTCCCCACAAAATGGTGACCCCCCGACGTGATCTCTAACACCACGGTGAGGATGGATTAGAGTGGGGCTCCAAGCAGCGGGAGTCGGTCACAAAAGGACAGCCCGGAAGAAAGTGCGTCCCGGACCCAGAGTGCTGTATAGACAGACTGCCTACGTGCTGCCGAACCCTGCAAAGGCTGCAACGCGCGTATCAGGTATGGATAGGGAAGCAGCATATAGTTTATTTACTGCATTTTTGCAGAAAAAGGGTTGTAAAGAAATTGATTTGAAAAAGGAGCTACCTGGTTTATTAGCATATGGGGTAGAATTAGGATGTTTTAGTAACCCCCATTCGGTTCATGCGGTAGCTGAGTGGCGTAAGTTTGGGGATAAAATTCAGGACGCCCTTCTAGATGAAGATAAAATGGCCAAAAAATGGGGCAAGAAGTGGCGTGTAATACTTAATCTTCTTCTTCAGCATGAGGCTGCAGCACAGGCTGCAAATGTGCAAAATCAGAATAGAGAATTTGCTGACAGTCAATGGCTTTCTCAGACACCCATGCCACCGGCTTTCTCTAGCGGTTCTATTGGCTCTGTTGGAGCCCCTGGTGGTCTAGTGGTAAAGGCGCCGCGCTATCACCGCGGAGACCCGGGTTCGATTCCCGGTCAGGGCCACTCCCGGGCAGGTGGGGCTCGTTAGCCCTTAAAGGCAACCCACCTCGTCCTAAGGACCTCGCTGCCGACCGTCCAAGCTCGCATTGGCCCGGCAGATGAACCTTAGGATTAACAGGGTGGGCTCAGTTCGCGCACACTGTGTCTCACCTAAAAAAAAATCCAATGCGCAGGCTGGAAGGTGGAAAGACCTTCCCCGGATCTTCGCTCGCGAAGACTGGCCATTATTATTCTATTGGCTCTGCCACTATTCAAGGGGCTGTTGGTAATGTTGTAGATGTAAGTGATGAAACCCCTGGTAGAGAAATAGGGGCGATCCCAAAATGTAAGGAATCGAAGGAGATAACAGAAGTTTTAACCAGGATATATACTCCTGGTCCCCAGGGTCAGATAAATTATGAAGTTAAACCCCTTGATTGGAAATTGCTCACACAGTTACGGACCACAGTTAGTCAATATGGATTACATGGAGAACCTTCCAAACAAATTCTAGATTATATGTGGGGTTCTCAATTACTGTTACCGTCAGATTTGCGCTCTATAGCAAAATTGATTTTAACACAACATCAGCAAATTCTCTTTAACGGCTACTGGCAAGCACACGTTCAAAATAGCGTTAATCAGCAAAGGCAGCCCGGTGATCCTCTGCATGGGGTTACCATCGATGAATTAATGGGAATGGGTCCATATGCCCATCCCGAAGTTCAACCCCTTATGGGGCCGGATAAACTAAGAGAAGCTATGAGATTAGCTAAACAAGCATTAGAAAATGTAAAAGAACCAGGAGGACCTCCTATGTATATGAGCATGAAACAGAAAAAGGAAGAATCATTCGGTGCCTTTGTAGACCGTTTAACAGTGGCGATTACTAAAGCAGGAGTAAATGATTGGATGAAGGGGCCCATAATGAAACAGTGTATACTACAAAATGCCTCTCTTGAGATAAAACGCCTTATAGCAGCAGCAGGTCCTAATTGGACTATTGAAGAATTGTTAGAAAAAGCATTGAGTATCCCCGTAGGAGATATGGCCTTTTTAGTCCAATCGCTTAAAGATTTAACAACTACGTTACAAGAACAAGCTCAGGGAGCTCAGCAGCAGGAATTAGCAGCCCTTGCACCCTTGCAGGGGGCAGTAAGCACAAGCAGCGGAGCAAAGCCAAAACAACGTTGCTACCGATGTGGATTATCAGGACATTTTCGAAGGGACTGTCGTGCTACAGGAGTGTGGTGCAATAATTGCAAACAGTCCTCACATAATACATCTGCCTGCAAAGGCCGCCCGGGAAACTTCAAGCAGAGCGCGCCCCGCAGCAACAGCCGCGCCGGGACACAAGCAGCAGCTGCGACCACCGCCCCACAGGGGACTCCCGTCGGACCGTCTCCAATTTACAACCCGCCACCTCAGGAAGCCTCGGCTTGGACTTGGCAACCTCAGTAGAGACTGATGTGGACAGTATTCGGCATGCTGTCTTACAAGACCGAGCAGCAATTGATTTCTTGCTTTTAGCACATGGTCACGGCTGCCAGGAATTTGATGGAATGTGCTGCATGAACCTGTCTGACCACTCTCTCAGTATCCACCAAAAACTTCGAGAAATTCAACAACGATTACATCACATAAAAGTGGGCTCTTCTAGTTTAGACGACTTGTTCTTTTTATTTTAGTTCTGTTGTTTCTTCTGCCTTGTGTTATTGCTTGCATTCAAAATTGTATTACTCGCTCCCTGAACGCTATGCTTCAACATGCAAATATGAGCTTGCTAAAAGAAAACGGGGGAAGTGTGGAGGATGTGTCACTGAGCAGCATAGCTCAAGAATGGTTAGCAGATAAGGGTCACTGAGAAATGGGTCCCTGAGAAATGGAATGTTCTTTGGGAGTTGTCTCCTTGATCATGTAGCAGAACAAGAATCAAAAGGAAGACCCTGTACTGCAGATAGGGAAGAAGAGTTAAATTGTAGACATAGCTATGCACAAATGTAAGCAGTTTTAAAGATTAACCAATCATGAGCTTGGCTTTTGCAATATGTATGAGCTTATTAAGTGCCTTATAAAAATGACTGCTTATAGACAATAAACGAACGCACTTATTGATCCTGAGGTCGTTGTGTTGTTCCTCCATCCCCACAGACAGTTGTAAATTCTTTTCCTTCCTGTGCACATATATTGTTTCTGCAACTGTTCCAGACAACCCTGGCCTCAGTGTCGCAGAAGAATGAAGAGCAAACCAAACTAATCCACTCCCAGAGCAACATGCTCATGGGATCTTTTCTGTCCCCTCACCACCCACCCACTTAGTAACTTCTCCAAGCTTGGTCTGTGAGGTGCAAAGAGAGAGCCTATGGCAGTGTGGCCTGAAAGGATGGACAAAGCAAAATCATCTTCACTGGACTGTTCATATTCAGCTTAAAATTGTCTCTTGAGCATTACGGCCACCAGTGAACAAGTCCAACAGCTTCACAGTTCCAGTCCCCACAGAGCTAACACTTTTTGGCAGCAACAGCCCCAAGTTCTGTGTTCTAAGCCCTGAGGATGGTACCACTGAAGTTAGATGTCTGCTCTTTCCCAGCAGCCTCCTCTGCAAAAGGACTTACTTTGGTAAGTTTTGGCTGATTTTCCAGATGGAATTCTCCTGATAGACCTGGATATGATCCCCAAACAGCATCAAATGGACTATATCTGCAATGCCCACCAAGTCTGCCTGTAAACAGAACAAACATCACAAAGTTCAGTGCCTGCCACTTTCTGCAATCCACTACAGCTTGCTGCTTTTGGTGATTTCACACATTTAAATCTGGATTGGTCTTTGCACCAGAAACTTCCAGAGACTGTTAAGCAAGAAAACTTCAAGAAGTAAAATTCTGGTTTTATAGTAGGTTTCTAAATAGATACAGTAGTCACAGACGCTCAACAGTGCTGCCAGTCCCCTTCACTTAATGCCAAAGATTCCATCAGATGTCAGATTCAGTATTTATTGGTCAGAGCTTTCCACAGCACTTGCAAATTGCAACTTAAGAAAATAGATTTTGTAAAGGAAACACAGAAACTAAGATGTTCTGCTAAACAGAGACTCACCTGATAAGGAAGAGAACTTGCTGCCAGAAGCTGCTGCCCATGAGGGGTCTGAGACACGGGAAAGCTGTTGCACAAGCTCACTCGAGGCTGCAACCTCAAATCCAGACTGTGAGAGAAATCCACCACCTTCAGAGCACTTGCCATGTCCTCGTTAGCAAAGGCATCGCAGATCCTGGGCAGAGAAAGCACGTGAAGCACAAGACAATCCAATAAACTTTTTTTCTGTAATTAATTGAACAATGCAGTGAAGGTGAGTCTTAGCCATGTCAATGCTCCCCTCTGATGGCTGCCTTCAGAACTACTGCTGCAAGGGCTGCCCCTGGATGGAGCAGCCAGGAGCCAGGGATAGCACTGGAGTCTCCAGAGTGAGCCATGGGAAAGAGCTGAGGATGCTGCTGTTTTAATAACTGTCACAGTTATCCAAACACAGTTTGTGCAATAGGACAAGAGTGCAGTGTTAGCACTCCTCCCTCTCCTTCAGGATCTCAGAGTGCCTCATAAAAAAAACAGTTAAGCTTGACAGTGCTTTAACAAACGTTTCCTGGTCTGGAGGTGAGGGAGGACAAACAGGAAGGGCAGGGAGGAGTGTCTGTATCAAGGACTGCCAAGCCAACAACACCCACACACCACAGCTCTCACTACTACTCTTCTTACAGACTCATGTGCTGAGCATATTTCTTAATTGAGACTGTGCACTTGTCCTTTACATATCTTAAAAAACCCAAACCACTATCCTAACTTTTTGGTAGCTGGTTGGTTTTTTTTTATTTGCCACAGAGAAATCCAGGAGAAGATATCCAAGTCCAGCAAGCCACTGTTAGATCAATGACTTGCAAAATAGGATGCAGCACCCTAAGGGATGTGCAAAACAACCCACTGCAGGGTGTGAAGAAAATATAAGAACTTCAGTGTGTACGTATGTAATTTACAATTAAGTAAGTAATATAACTAAGTTATTAATAAAATAATCACAAATAAATTCTAAATAAAAACTCTCGGGGGTGTGCATGTTAGATGTCTGTAGGCTCTAAGCAAATTTAAAGGTAACAGCTATTTCTGACATGTCAGGGATAACGAAGAACAGCCTCAGTGAATTCACGTAATGGAATTTATCTGATTCATTAGACATTCTGGTTACTGGCTTCCCACACTTAGTTCACAGATCACATTCCACAGGATATGAGACTTTGTTAACATAATATGGGAAAGAACTTCAAGAAGAAAACTAGATCTGTGCATCAAGGTACAAGCTGGACTGCAGAGGAAGCTGAGTAATCTGTTTAAGGGTGTCTGGATATTCCAGTCCCACCTGTCCTTTGTCTTCTAATTTCCTGGTTTTCAGATATGTAAAACCAAAGGCAATTTACCATATCCAGTTAAAGGTCTGGTGCACTGGTAAAGCAGCAGCTTGAAAACACAGGCAATAGCAACACCATTTTGCTTAGCACAAGTTTTACAACACCATTGTATAAACCTTCTCTAGAAAGGTTTATTCCTTAACAAAGTGTTTCCACTCTTTCCAGAATATGTTGGAGCCTAAAATAGCTGGAGTGCAAACCCAGTACCCCAGCTGAGGGGAAGTGAGAGCAGCACGAGAGCTGCAGCTGCAGTGAGTGTTCTGTACCCCCCATTCACACACAGAGACAAACCTGTCTCCCAGAAAGAACACCTCTGGCCTCAGATCTCCATGGACAATCTCAGCCTTGTGCAGCTTCTCGACCACACCCAGAAGATTATAAACAACTAGGAAGATGACTTCCTCCATGATGGACTTGCGGCCACGGATAACATCCTGGAAAGAGACAGTAAACATGTATCTCTGTGCCCTTCTACCTTAGATTAGGTCAAGTATTTATAGCTCACCTTCTTTTTTCATTACTCATCTGTACAGAGATAACAATCCCACCCTAAATTCAGTATAATCAGATTTTGCCCATGATCAGCCCAGACAGAATAACAAGAGCCACAAGCTCCTAGGAGACATTATTATTCAAAAGTGGACAGAAGATCAGGAGGAGAAAATTGAACTCAAGACTGAAATCACTATTTAATTTCTATCCTATTTATACACAACAATTCAAAATGCACTTACAAGACTTTATTTAAAATATAAGTCCTTCAGCAAGACATTAAACACTATGACCTTGCTATAGCAGATGGGAACAGGTGAAGTTAAACAACAGTTTTAGATGCAAATTTGTTTGGAATACCACGTGGTTCTTGGCTCAGGCCCTTTATCATTCACAAAGAATACGTGAAAAATTTGTTCAAGATCACCTTCTGAGAAGCACATGATCTACGGATGAGAAACCAAACCCCACTGAGGCTGTAACAGTCAGCCCTGATTTGTATATGGATAACACCCCGAGGATGCAGATTGCAGGAATAACCAGGTGAAGCTCTTCAGCCCAAGTCCCTGCTGTAGCCAAGCAAGAGACCCTGTGTGTACAGCGGTGCTCGCTGTGCCTGCACTGACCCCAAGCGTGAAGCGGTTGATGTCCCTGTGCACCACGGCACAGCCATCCTGGTACAGGTAACAGCTGCAGCTCTCACTGAAGCTCTGGTCAAAGTCAGCCTGCAAACGCCTCTGCAACTCAAGGCTGATATAAAAATCCCAAGGCACAGGCTGAGAATACACCTACAACAAGGTATGTAAAAAGAACATTTATTTTTGGAATAAAATGAAAATTTTTCATCTTCATATTCTCCTCATCCTTTTTTTTTTTCCTCTCCCACTTTACTAAGGAAGACATTTTCCACAGCCAGAAACTTTTAATCTATACCCATAAATAGAAATAGGACTTGAAGTAGCAAACTTCATGTAGGAAATTCAGAAATGAAGGCCAAACTTACTACATTTCATGTATTAATGGATGAGACTTTACCACGTCACAATTCTCATACAATAGCCATCGTACGTGTTACCTTTATTGCAAATCCCTTTGCATCCAACTGGAAAAGGTTGGCTGGAATGGCAAAAAACATTTTGTATTCTTCATTGCTCCAGTACTGCCATTTGATGCAGTAAGTCTCATGCCCTGGGATGAAAGGTTACATTCATAAACTGTCACAGCAAACAGACATTCCCAGGTTACTCCCCACCTGCACCACATCCGACTCTGCGAGAGAACACGAACCACAGTTCAACCCAACGAGCACACAAACAGACCCCCTGCACTGCAGAGGCCCTGGCACACCTACCCAGCTCAATGTCCTTCTCAACCTCCATGGTAGGCAGAGCTCCAGGCTCCAAGTAGAAATCGGGAGAAGCAGCCAGTGATTCCAGCACAGGCTCCAAGAGCTTTCTACGCTGGTCAGCGCTCCACAGCGGCTCAGCCACATCCTCCCCTGGCAAAGCAAGCAAAGCAAGGGAAGCTGAAATTCAGCAACGAGTCTCTGCCAGTTGATTGCACCTGTCAGGAAAAGTACCCTGGACACTGCGGGCTTTCTGTCCACATTCTGATTTACTGTTCACCTTCCAGCAAGTCAATTCATCTCTCTCCAACAGTTTGTGAAGTGAGTGTGACACTCCTCTTTACAACCACCTCACAGACTCACGTCTCATGGAGTCTCCTGCAGCATCATGCAAAATACATCTTCCACAAGAGACAAAGCTCTGAATTAATTCAGCCACAGCGGAAATCAAACTCACTCTGCAAATCAACACTCTTGTTTTAAATCTATGCCCAGAGTAAGTGATCAGTTTAGGATTTTAAAATGAAGGGCTTTACTGAAACTCAGTCCTTTGATTACAGCAGGGGTTTTATATAAGAAAAGGAAAACAAAGTAGGACTCCAACTCTGCTGCTCACTGCAACTTTAAGAATTTCGTGGGTTTTATCTCCTGGAAGACACATAAGATAATTCCATATAGGAATTGTATTTTCATTCCAGGTCCCAAGTATGCTTCATCACAGAATAGTCTGCAGGCACACAAGAACCTTCTTCTCCAGAGTAGATACATTGAGAATTTTCAGATACACAATTCTAATTAAAGTATCATGAGCCAAAATCAAAGGAGTTAAAGCAGGATAAACACCTTGAAAAACCATCATTCCACATACACCTAATTCTACAAGCCAGATTTGAAAGGCCTTCTGTGACCATTCCCGTTCTAACTGTAATATAAATATTTAGGACAGAGAGAAACAAGGGCCTTTAGCTGGAAGAAAAATAAATAAATTGACTATTTAAGTACCAGTATTGTTTTTCTTCAACAGGAGTAAGAAATGTACTGTGAAGCAGCACCACAATTTACAGCGCAGTTAAAAGTGCAAATTTACACCAAAATTCTGCAACTTTCACTAGATTTCAAATTCACATCCCCCTTTTTTAAAGTAGCAGTTATCAGCACATCAGGAGGGACACAATCAGCATTGCAGAGAAAAAAACCAAGACAAACCAAAACAAAGCTGCCTTAGAAGTTCTCACTGCCCTCCAGCCCAAACCTTTCCTTTCAGAATCTGACCTCATTATTCCTCCACGCTCCCTGTTTTACTGCCTTAATAACTTCTGTCCCCTTAATCTGTACGTGTTTTGGATGCTGAAAGCATTCTGTACTGCACCTCACTGCTGCTTCCAACAAGGGCCACGAGTTCAGGCACAAGCCACAGTAATGGGGAACACACAGGAAGCGCAGTGGGATATGGGAAGGACAAGAAGAAACACGTTTAGTGACAGCTGCAGGTTATTTGTTGTGAGTGAAACTCGGTTTAGTACTAACCAGGAGCATTTGCACAGACACCTCCACAGTCAGGAGCCGTTTCAGCAGGCAGGCTCTGGGCCAGCTCCAGTTTCTCCGGGATACGCAGGTATTTAATAGCAGATGTTTGTGTAACAGAGGACAGAGAACCTCCTGAGACTGAAGAACCTGACGAGCGAGTGTCTTCCAGGCTTGCTTCCATGATTGGGCTGGAAATAAAGTCATCAGTTAGTCAGATTTCCAGAACATAGAGGTTCTAGATAATGCCAGCCCAGTGACTAGGAGAGGATACTGAGCACTTCCAGATTAAATTAACAAAGAAATCCTTTCCCATCCTTAGTGGAAAATCAAAAGTCATGTCAGAGCTTCATTCTGGCTTTGATGATTGTTTATACTCGGAATCTTAGTCTACAGATGACTTTTTATCTCCTCTTCCACTAAATCTGACTGTTACCACAGGAGAAATACTGAATATTTATTCCTCCTCTCAGTGCTTTTAAAGCAGTGCAGGGTTGGGTGGGAAATAACTCTGCCTAATTATAACCAGCATGGTTTCCAGGGAGCTTCCCAAGTAAACAAACACCTTTGGCATGGTAGACGTGTTTACATACTAACAGCCAGCACACCAAACTCAGCTCTAAATTAAGAAACACCCATATAAGATGCTTTTTTTTCTTTACAACAATAAAAAAGGAGGTTGTTTGCCAGTTTTTTCTCCTCTCCAGCTTCTCTCCTCTGTAGAAGAACTAAATTATAGTCACCAGATGCATCTTATATACTTAAAATAACTGCAGAAGCCTACGAGTATGAAAAGAACTGATGATTCTGCTTTTCATGTCTGATAAGCAAGACAGAATGCATTTATTAATTTCTTTGCCAGTTATTTGATAGAAGCATGGAGTTAAGGCCCAGAGCAGTAATGCTGAAAAGCCAAGTGGGCTTGCTCTGACCTCTTGAATCTGCTCAAGGCAGAGCAGACCCTGAGCTAGAGAAATGGCTGGCTTTGGAATATCCTGGTCTATTCAGAAAACTGTTTCTTCAGCAACAATAAACCCACAGCTGTGAAGGATACACAGGCGCAGGGGCTTAAGGTACTTTGCTGTTCATTACCTCAGTTTATTTACACAGAGAGCTTCGCTGTAGGCTCCCTCACACACCAGCGTTTCCTGATCCAGAGGTGCACTCTTGGATTCTGGACTATCCTCCTTCAGGTCACTCTGGGAGAAAGCAGGAGCTGGGATTCTCTGAGCTCCCAGCCCGTGAAAGGGCGTCGAGGCCAGGTGGGCAGCCCTGTTAAAGTCACACGTGTCTTCTGGGTTGGCACAAAGGGGTTTGTTCTTGTAGGAGCCTGTCACAATTGCATCCTCAGTCAAAGCTTCGATTCCATTCAGCTCATCCTGAAAAAAAGCAGGAAGAGATGGTGAAGAGCCTGTGCATTTTATGACATTTTTTTCATTAATTTATTTAAAAGGTGAACATTTCTCTTTTTCCTTTCTTCCACCCCACTACCTTCCCAACACAGGCCACTAATGACTTGCCTAAATTTTGGAGGACTCCCTACCACTGCATCTCCACACTGCCCACCCTAAAGCCTAATAAAAACATGAATTTCCAGTGTAATCTTAACATGCCCCAATTCAAGTCCTGCCATGCCAGCCAGCAGTTTCGAATCCCTGCTTATTGCACATCAGGTCAGTCTGCCAGGACAGGCAGCGCTGGTTGCTCCTGGGCAGAGGCTCTGCTGTCAGTGGGCTGTGTCCTTACACAGGTTTCTGGTGAGACGTTTTCCTTTGCTGTCAGAGGGGCCAAAGGTTTACGAGCAGCGAGTGGTCGATGGGCACTTTTCTGGGTCTGATCTGCAGAACAACTAAGATAAAGTTACATTCAATTAAATATTTATTAGAGCAGCTTCCAGTCTTCAACAGATTCCTCAAGAGTTTTTCTCTACTGACAATTTCAATCTATCGTTGCTAGTACAGAACTACCAGTAAACTGCAGTATATACAACTCTCCAAAATGACGAAAGTTTATACAGCAGCTTTAATAGTTCGAGGCTGAGAAAGAACAACAGAAGAGTATTTTCTCATCATGGACTCTGAGTAATGAAATAAAAAATAGCAATACAAACAAAACAAAATGCCACCTCACAACCCTGCAAGTTATTTCAGAAGCTACAGAAAGTGGTTTGATATTTCAGTGTTCCCTCCCTCTGAAATGTAGGTCTTGAATATTTCTACCTTATATTCTGATTTGTTAGAGTCGAGGATTCATCAAATATAGAGAAAAATGGAGCAGGAGCCAGTGGGGGAAGCAGATTTACATCTGTAAAGAAAAACCAAGAGGTTCTATCCTATCCACAGTTTTTCCATAACAGTGTATCCAACACTACTTAAAATATTTAATACACAGTTTTAAAAATACTGGTCCTAGTAGGACAGAACTGGCATTTAAAGAACCCCATCAAAAAAGGCTTGGTTTTGTCCCATTACTGAACCACACCTTTACCACCACATTATGTGAGCTGGTTGGCTCTTTTTAGGCTGCCTCAGAATTGGTACCTTCTTTGGGAAGGCTGGCCTCATCTCTCTGTTCCTCCTCAGGGTCTGAAAACACATTTCCACTGTGGTTGTCTGGGGATACCTCAGCAGTCGGGATAACCTCTGTCAACAGCAACAGGAGTTAATTTGGGTCAAAAGTAAGTTTTTCACCACAAATCCTTCCCAACAACAAAATTTCCCCAAGAGAGAAATACACAGTTTCTGGTTGTATTCCTCTAGCAGCCCTCTGAGGAAAAAGGACTTAAGGTAGTAGCAAGCTAATGGTAGCATTTAACTCTTTTGAGATTTTAGTAGGACTGAAAATATGAAAGCTGGAAAAAAGCTCTCCAGCTGTTGAAAGGAAAAAGCTCTTCTGTTCAAATATCCTTTCAAATTGTGACATTCTCAGGCCTCAGATACTCAATCTGCTGAATATGGTTAAAGGCACTTCTAGAACCTTTACATTTTTATTCTTCTAACCCACCTAGACTTTTGATTTTAGTCTATTGCAGTCTTTCTATTCACATAAACACTTCCCCTTCTTACAAAGCCTTCTCCTTAATGGTAAAAAAAAAAAACATTAATACTTACCCTCAGAACAAGATGGTTTATGTAGTTGAGCATCTTCACAGACCTGGAATTCACTGCAAAAAAAGATATAAACTTGTTTCTTATATTTTACAGACCTTCACCAAACAGCAGTAAACTCTGTAAAAAAGGCAACGTATGATACTTGCAGGAATTTAAGATCCCATAATCAAAAATACTGAGTGAGAGAGAGAGAGAGAGAGGACAGATCCTGGCTGCAGGCTGACAGAGGAGTCTGTTCCACCTGCAGAAACAGGCAGGTAGTGATCCATGCCACTCCTAACTTATCTCCACAAACCTTCTCATTGCTGGCAAAGAAAACCCTCTATTACCTTTGCCACTGAAGCTGCTTCTCCCCAACTTCTGTTGCACTGGAAGAAGTGAATCCTTGCGGTCCCAAAGGTGCCGAAGCTTCCCTTACGTCTGTTGCCTATAAAAACAAAACCGTGTTTTGGTTCTACAGTGATGGAATCACAAGCCATGCAAAAAGGTTTCAAAACTATTACTGTGATAATCCCGTGTAGGTGAGTAAAACCCTGAGAGATGAATAGTTGTCCTCAGCCCTTTTTATTTGTACTTAGCTTACTGTCATGAAACAAAGTTCATTTTTATTGCATAGTGTAGTTAAAATGCATTATTTTACTCTCTGCAACCCTGTATAATTTTCACAGGAGATTTTAGTAATCCTACAACTGTTACAGACATATGTAAGCAGCTATTTGTAAAAGAATAGTTAAGTGTGGACAATACCTGTTCACGTGCTTGTTGATGCTTGTCATCTTCTTTCTTCTTCAATTTCTTCTCCAGCTCCTCAATTTTCCTTTGTATTTCTTCCTTCTTCTGTGCTATGGCTTGCATTTCCTCTAAGGAAGAAAAGCTTGTAAGGCCTGATGCATATTTCACATATAGTTCGTGGCTAAAGTCTAAGTTATTTGTAAAGGGGCCTTTCCCTGTTCCATGTAAAGCTGTCAGATTTGTTACAGTCTCTGTACCTCAGAGCAGTCAAATAACTCTTCCAACAGAAAAAGAAAAGCAGCTGCAATAACAGAGAGCAGCAAATATAATGTTATGATCCCATCTCTGAAAGCCTCACTTATTTCATCCATTTTGAACCACACCTTCGGCTTTCCTTTTCGCTTTCTTCCTGTAGATTTCAGCTCGAATCTCTTCCAAAGAGAATTCATCGACTCCAGCATAAACCTTGTCCTTGCAGTACATCACCATCTCTTTCCTCTCCTGAGTGTCCTGCTGATGGTGCTGCACTCGCTGCAGCGGGTCCTCCTTCTCAGGTTTGCGAGCACTTAACACGCGGTTTATGCTGGGCTCGATTTTGCACGGAGTCCTGGAAAACCATGGATTTGTTACTGGGGTTCTGGGGTACTTCACTGTGGCACAGAAAAGCAGGCACAGGAGACAACGGGGCTCATTTCAGAATCTGGTTGAGGAACAGTGTAAAGAGCTTATGTTCTGTTAGGAAAAATAAACCAGAGAACTGGAATGATAGCAGATGAAAGGCCAGCACACAACTCTGAATGGGGTAATAAATAAATAAACCAAAGCAAACAACAACAACCAAACCCAAACAGTTAATAAGGTCCTGTCACAATTCCTTAGTGTGAAAGGGCTTTCTGAAAGCACTACCCACCAATATCAGGAGAGAGGAACCAACACTGGTACAGCTTTACAGGCAGCAGCAATCCAGCTGGACTGACCCAACTGTGCCACAGTGAAAGATGATCTGAACAACTGACCTTAAAAACTGGGTTAGCTGTGGTCTGGGCAAGCATACCCAAAGAAAGCCCCATGCACAGCTCCACATGGGACATCCATTTTGGTTTGCATGTGAAGGGACTCCCAGCCCTTTCACCGTGTGGGAGATCATGAGGCAGACAGGTACTCCTCATGTTTGGGTTTTTAAAGCTTTTTGGGGATTATGGAGACTCATTACCAAGGTTACTACAGGGTCCTTCTGCCCAGACCTCTGGATGACATGATTTGCATCCTTTTTACACAGTTTCAACACAGTACTTTCAGACATGACTTGGCTGGTGACCACGGTATCGTGAGGAAAAGGACTCAAAGGCAGAAAAAAATAAAATCTACTTTTAAGCATTCAGCTACATAACATAAAACTGCATACAAAATCTCTGCCTAGGTTGCTCAGAGCTAATTTACATAATGTTCAGTTCCACCCACTCCTTCCCTCTCCCTCATATAAAAAGCTTAAGTAACATGTCTTCATCCAAGGGACCAGCATGCCAAGAGATTTAATTCTGTGCTATCGCTGACTTTCAGGAGTAAGAAATAGTTTAAACACAAACTTATTTTTTACAGATCCTTCAACCAAACTATGGCACGTCCTTGGTCAGAGCTATTCTGCAGTCCACATGGAACCTACAAAACCCACAGGAGAAACCCATGTTGTTCACCACATCTCAGCATTCCTGGATTCCACACAACTCAGAGCTGTGGAAACTGTAATGTCAAACAGTCTTTTCCACTTCTCTCTCAGGAAGAGCCTGTGTATTCCTTGGCCATCGTTAGCCAGAGAAAGGTAGAGCAACTTTGCAACAAAAAGTCCTCTGCTCTAACAAAACCACCCCATCTCCTGGGATTTATTAGAATTTCAGGGAGACTGCACAAGCAGGAAGGTAATTTCAGGCAAAGCAGCATACTCACTCCTCCACGACCTAAGCAACGCTGTTGTCATGGCAACTCTGATAGCTTGTTTCAGAATAAACTCCAGATATGCTCAGCACAGAGCTCCCGAGACAGAAAAACAGCCCCAAATCCGCCTCAATTTGAGGCTGCTGAACAGCAAAGGGCACCCTAAGACAGGTACCTGTGGGTTTGTGCAAACACACCGCGATAGGCTATTAGACTAATTAGCACATCTAAATATGACATCAGCTCCCACATCATGAGCAACGCTGGCTGAACGCTTCCCATGTCCTTATGCAACCTCTGCTGGAGCCTCTGCCATCAAGCTGCAGCACTAATTGTTTCCAGGCTGATAGATTTTTAAATTCTTGCAGCTCTAGAGGCTTGTCTACTTGGCAAAACAAGTTAGAATTTTAGGAAAGAGCTTTTAGAATTCCAAAGGCAATTCTCATCTCCAGCTCAAGACTCACATCATTTGAGGCTGGGTTGCCTCGTCCACGTAGGGGGTGAAGCTGGGCAGGGGGCCGGGCACTGCCACGCCGGGACTGGCAGCACTTCGAGGACGCTGAGGGAGGAAAGGCACTGTTAACAGCTGCAACATTCACCTGGACACTCCACACCTCCCTGTTCCCTGCATCTCCCTTTTCCCGCTGTTCTGCTCTTCAAGAGGGTTTGTTATATACAAAAATTAAACCTAATAGACTTTTCCAAGATTCATTCCATTCTGACACAGAAATAGTTACAACCCATCAACTGAACACTGGCACCTAAAAAGCAAGAGACTCCTCCCATGTGCCCCCACCATCCCAGTTTCTGTTATTCTGAGGGAATATTATACGTATACAGATATATAGAGAGAAGGAATGTTATTCTGGTCAAGGTAGGTATTCCAGTTGCTCTTTTCCTGTTTTCCACAAATGCTTTAGTCCTCATTTTCCAGCTAAGATTGTCCCAATTGTATGATAATATTCCTTCTCCTGTCAACCAAGGACCTCCAGACTTGGTCTTTTTTCAGTTTTCCTTTCAGAGGCCATTCCAACACCACAAAAATCCCTTAACTGTTTCTGAGGTCCATTATTTAAGAGAACAGAGTTTAATCTGACAACACACTCCTCTTATCTGCTGATTTGAATTCCCTGTGACCCTTCAGCACAAAAAGTTTCCCAAAGTGTTTACTCAGCCATCTTCACACCAGCAATTAGAGAAGCTTCTTTCCTCTCTGCAGGTTTTAATATCTCAAAGCCTTCACCAAAGGTTATTCCTTCACTACCCTTGAGTGAAGGGGAATTAAACACCCTCCACTCTTCTTCTAGTAGCAGAATATTTTATTTTTTTTAACGAAATCTAATAAATTTCATTAAGAGGAGAACAGAGAGAATTCTAAGGTCAGACATTAAAAGATATACAGGAGCATTTGGAGACCAGAATGAATATGTTCAGCAGCCCAAAGCTACTGATAAAAGAAGTTCTACATTAATAATTCTTCCTCATTCTTCTCAAGTTAAATTAAACCTGTGACTTACTGAACTCTTCCATTCATTTAATCAAATTGCTTTGTATCTGGGAGTAATATTCCTGGAGTTCCTCTGAATTTCAGCCTATTTACATCCCTCTCCTCAACACAGTTTTTGTTCCTAAGCTTCACTTGTAATGAAGTCTAAAATATTTTTATCACCTGATTCCTTTCTATTCTTCCTCTCGAAGCTACAAAGAACAAGGGAGCACTGGGGGTTATCTGAGCACCTAACACCACACTTCATTTCACAGGATTAATTCCCTTCAGATACTGTCTTGGATCCCTTCCCTAGAAGGGCTAAAACACCTGAGCACAGCTGTTTCTTTTCCTGTCTCCTGCATTAGTTTAAACCACTGGAACCTACTTTCTGTCATCCCACTGTCAGGATAAATATCCCACTGATACAGCAGTTCTGCAATTCTTTTGATCTCCACTCTGCTGTTTTCCTCACAAGCACTTCAAAACAGGCTTGCAGAATGCTGCACATGCCTTAGTTTTGTAAGACAGGCAACAAGTTCTTCCTTCAGGTGGTATTTTACAACATAATTTGACTCTTACTCTTCCTTCTCAGAGAATCCCTCTTACATTCCTTTTCTGCCCTCCAAACAGCTTGGCAGGCCACCTCTACCAATTTTTCTGGTTTGAAAGAAATATAATTTCTTGATACAATAATTCCAGAGTTTTTAAAACTTACTCTATCAGATTTCTGAACTTGAATAGGTTATGCATAGCCAGAGAGTCTTTGGAAGGAGAGGGACTGTTCACAAGGGCCTGGAGTGATAGGACAAGGGGGAAGGCCTTGAGCCCAAGGAAGGTGGGTTTGGATGAGATATTGGGAAGGAATTCCCCCCTGTGAGAGGGTGAGGCCCTGGCACAGGTTGCCCAGAGAAGCTGTGGCTGCCCCATCCCTGGAAGTGTCCAAAGGCCCGGTTGGAACAACCTGGGCTAGTGGGAGGTGTCCCGGCCCCTGGCAGAGGGTGGCACTGGATGAGCTCCAAGGTCCCTTCCAACCCAAACCATTCTGGAATGCTGTGATTCCATTATAAAATCTGTATTTACTGATAGACACAAACCCCAGGCAAGGGAGAAAGACACGACTTTTGTCTCAGGGATCAGTAAGTCATCAGCTTACACACACCTTCCCCTCTCTTCCCAGCCCATTTTGAGACTCCTTACCCTGCCAGAGTTCCAAGGTCCCGCACTGAGTTCATTCTCCTTGGCCCTGGGAGCTGGAGGTGCTGCCCATGACTGTGCTGTAAGCGTGGGAATCTCAGCTCCAGACACTGAATTTTCATCAAACACAGCAAAACTTGGAGTATTTGGAAGCTGCAGAGAAGTTTGAGGCTGGATGCTTCTGGATGGGTTCGTGGCTATAAGCAAGAAGATTTATGCAAATTAACCTTTAACGACCACATTCAATTGCAAATTCCAGGACAAAAAGATGTAACTCTTCCAAGAACAAGTTATTTCAGCTCTTGAACGTACCTTTAACTGCATCCCCCACACGACTAATGGGTGCTCTCACTTTTTTCTTCCCCCTGCCTTTGAGATCTGCCAATGAGCTTCTCTGAGGCTCCGCAGTTTCCAGCAGACCTGCATTTTTTCCATCTGGACTTTCCTCAAGTGCCAGTAGTGCCTGCCGAGAAACACGGGCCTGAAACTGCCTAGAAAAACATTGGACAAGTCAGCATAACCTTGTAGCAGATACCCAGGGCAGCACCTCAGAGTAAGTTGTTCCCTTACCTGTGGTGGGACTGGAGTTTGTCCAAAGGCTCAGCCTTGCGCTGAAGCCCTTCCTGGAATATCAGATCTGCCTTCTTGAAGTTTCCTCTAGCCTCCAGTGCCTCTGCCCAGGTGATGTAGAGCAGTGCCAGCGTGGTGCCAATCTCCTGGCTGCTCAGGTAACTGTACAGATCCAAGGGCTCATGGCAGCAATTGCCCTGAAACAAGTCCAGCTCAGTAATCTCATTGGATTGCAAAGGAGTCCAAGTCAAAAATCTGCATCCTGATGCCTCCAGCAAGACCCCACTGACTTCAATACAAGTCTGAGAGGAGCAGCTGCAAGGCCAGGGCATGCAATCATTTCTTAGATCTGAGGTCATTCAGTGATTGACCCATGTCATATTAGCATTCCTGAGAACAGTTATCTCAGCTTTAGATAAAGTACAGCATATTCCTTGCCAGTTTTGGAACTGGTAAATCAGCTCAGGAAGCTAAACCTGAAGAAAAGCTGCTTTAAAAAGATGAGAACAAAAACTACAGCAATGGAGAGACAGGGAAAAATCAGAACACACTCAGCTTGGTTTGGCTCAAATACAGGACGTGGATACAATAGAAGCTAAAATAACTGGTAGGACAGATATAACACCTAAAATATATCTTTAAATCACTTCCCTTTCTCTTTAAATTATTATTTGAGCTGTACTTAGTCAAATCAGCTTTTCCAAAACAGAACTTCTGGAAAAGAAGTGAACAACCCAGAAAAGGTCTCAAGATCCCATTGAAAACGATAAGTGGAATTCAAAAGGAACATGTTTGCAGAAGGATATTGCATTTGTTGTACAACATCCTTTGCCTCTGTTGTCACCAAAATCAGCTCAGCTTTGTGCAGATGACAGGACAAGTCCCTGGGAAAAGCAGACCCAAGAGAGAGTCAGAAAATACTCACAAACTTGAGCCAGAGATTAAGATAGCGAGGGTCTTTGTAGTATCGCTGCTGCTCATTGAGGGCTTTCACTGCCCTTTCCAAAACTGCTGCGAGATTTCCATCTTTCCCACCCTGGGGGAAGGTCTGTTCTGTCCACTTGATGTACCTACAGATGGAAGATATTCACAGCAAGTCAGTTCAGACTAAGTTTCTGTACAATCTAAGGGAATTTAGAAAAAAAATAGGCATAATATTGAAACACAACACCGTATTCAAAAACTGTTATAGAATTTAACTTTGAATGAGTTTCTAAATTAGAATGCTTTTCCCTTGCTTTTCCAAGGACATATGACCTTTCTACTCTTTTTCTGAAAACAAAAAACTTACCGGTCCCACACATCCAGAGGGTCATCTCCAGAGTAAAATCGGATTTCTGATTCAAATTCCCTAAAAGATAAAATTATCCATCCAATAAGTACATGTGTATCACTGGAAATATATTTTCTACACTGTAAACTGAGACTTAATGAATACAGCTAAAAGTACAACCAAATCTCCCTGTGTTTGCTGTTTAAATGCTCCACTGCAAACCTGAAAGTTGCAATCTGTACCACACAGCACCTACAGCGAGTAGTTCTAAATACCTGGAGCATGACAGTAGCACAGACATCAGTTACTAAACACCTTTTATGCCCTTTTTAATGCTTATGAGATTAGTACCGTTAAGTAAGACATAGAAAAACGAGGAGGAGGAGGAGGAGGGAGGAATATAAGGGGAAAGAAGGTGTTAAAACATCACCCACTGTTTTTTGAGCTGCACAGCGGTGTGGCTGGAGGAGTCCTGCTGAGCCAGCGCCTCCTGCAAGCTGGACATCACCCGCCCCTGCCTGAGGGGCTGCACATTCTCCTTGCTCAGCTCCCACTCATCGCTGCACTCGTGGGACATGACCGCGGCTCCTTTAATCCTGCGCTAACAACAACAACATCACGTGTTAGCAGGATACGGACCTGAAACTTCACACACCCGCCATTCATCAGCCCATTCACGCCAAATTTTCTGCGCAGTCAAAACGCACCGTTTAGATGCCCAACTTTAGAGGAACTTCGGGTTTTAATTCCCTTTCACGGGAATACCATGAAACAAAAGCCAGTCTTAACAACGAAGAACCTCTGGCAGGCGACGTTTGCAGGGCAAGCCACTCAGATGGTGGCGTTTCCCTTCCCAGTGATTTCTCCCTGCCCCGAGACTCCCACTCTCCGGCCGGGGGGAGCCTGGACGGGACCCGAGTTCATTCGAGCCCCTCTGGCTCTTGCTTTATTCTGCCACTACCTTAATTTTCTACCTGCCTTTACAATCTTAATTTCTGTTAAGGTAGTTGCGGAATAAAGCGAGTTTCTGAATGCTTTAGTTAAAAGTAGTGCTAACATAAGTATCCAGTTTTCCGACAAGAGATGCCGAACAAACGTGCTCTGTAACCAGCTCAAGTTCAAGTAAAGTTCAAGCTCCAAACGACCACCAGAGACCCCCTCGGGCCGCCACGGCCCCGCGCGCCCCTCACGGCCGCCTCAGCCCGAATCGGCCCGCAGCCAGATTTTTCCAAAACTCAGTCCTTTTAATACCTAAAGAGATGCGCAGTTCTGGAAAAAAACTGCTGCAAAATCCCTTCGCTACCACCTTAACTACAGAACTCTGCGACGGAGGGCAGAGCGTGCGTACAGACCGGTCAGAGTAACAGCACGGACCTAATGTTTCGCTCAGTTACCTAGGGACCTTGTGCTCCGTCAAGTTCTTCCCCGCGAATATCCCATTACGGTCCGTAGCCGTATTTTTTCGAACTTACTGTCCCCAACAAATAATTCACAAAACAAAACAGATTCTCCGGAGGGGAGTTTAGAACTGAGGTCTCAGCCCGCAGCCCCGCGCGCCCCTCGGCCCCTCACGGCCCCTTCGGCCCGCGCAGCTCTCACCCCTCACGGCTCCGCGCACCGGTCCCGGTCCCCTCTGTGCCCCGAGCCCCCCGTACCTGTCGGCTCCGCGCGCCCCTCACGACCCGCGCCCCTCAGCCTCGCGCCGTAACGGCCGCGCCGCCTCAGCCCGCCCCGAAATTCAAACGGCCGCCGCCTCCCCATTGGCCGCTGCCGGCGCCTCGCCTGATTGGTTCATTTCCGCGACGCCGCCCCGGGGCATCATGGGAGTTGTAGTTTCCCTCCAGGCGACTCCGTCACGGAGAAATAAATAGTTTTGTAATTAATTCCCTCAGAATTAATATTATTATTACGGCTTCCTACTGCCAGAGGTTGGGTTTAGATGGGATATTGCGAAAGAATTTCTCCCCGTGAGGGGGGTGAGGCCCTGCCACAGGTTGCCCAGAGAAGCTGTGGCTGCCCCAGTAAAATTAAAATTTTCCAGCCCTTATTTACATGGTACAAGCAAAAACTCGGGTTTAACAACCTCATGATGGGGGTGGGTGGTGGTGAAGCGCTCTAACAGCTCCCTACATTAGTTTCAAGTTGTTCTTCAGCATCACCTTGTGTTCCTGTAGGGAACTGGTCCTTCATCTCTCTGAGTGAAAATTGAGATCTTAATAAAATCCAACATCTTCAGGGTCTTAAAAATACTGATGTCTTGCTCCCTTCTGCATTCTAGATCTGTAAAAACTGAAATATGTGTCAGCTGCAAAAAAAAATTTCCCTAGACTTACACAGGAATATCCTGTGAGTAATACAGATTAGCTGCCTGCTATTATTGGAAAGCTGATCAAGAACAGAAATATTTCTCACCAAAAAAAAAAATTGAATATTTGATAAGTAAAAAATGATTTTTTTTCCTTCATAACTGACCTTAACTCCCAGACTCTGAAGGTATTTGTGATGCCTGGAGGTTATGGAGATTCCATATTCTCGAATGACACAAACTTGGATTCTATTGTTGATGGGTGGCTTCTTCTTTACTACATGGACAAAAAATTAATGACATACCTAAAAGGGATACATGGCCTTATATCTCCCTAAAAAATCTATTACTTTTATACCTGAGCAGTTAACACACTTATCCTACAATAAAATGCAGAATGTATGCATAAAGAAATAGAGATCCCAGCATAATATGGAGTATAATGTGGGGTCTTAAATTTTTCAGCTCTTCCACTACGCCTTATCATACAAGTGTTTATCTCAATTTACACAAAAACAAGGTGAAAACCAGAATTCCAACCTCTGTCCTTCATTTCAGCAACCCCTCTGCAAAAGGAGCACGGGAACATGAGTTCTATCCAGGAATTACTGCTGGGTCATTTCCTCAGCCTCAGTTGTTGCTTTAGTCCTAAATCTGTTCCTTTCAATGTTTGGTGGACTCTTGTGTTGTTATTGATTGGATAAAATATCTATTTATCAAAAGGGAAGGCCATAATTTGCTTAAAGTCCATATGATGGATCAATCCTGTTTCTTTAAGTTTTCATTTACTGCTCGGGTCTGTTTTATTTTTATGAGGACTTAGTAACCAACTAATGAAAAAATAAAATGTACAAACCAGAATAAAATTGGATTGACTTCTTTTTTGAGGGAAAAATAATCCATTTTGGAGCTAAGGTCACTCAATATCCATGAAAAATCAGGTTAAAATAGGTCTTTTATGGCTGACTATTTGTCATTTGGCAGTTGTTCTTTTCCTTGGGGAGGCCAAAGGGAAGGTGAAATGGGCACTTCCCAGGGGCGTTATTCCAGGAGAGGGTGCTCCAGGCTTGGGAAAGCCCTGAGCATCCTCTCCTTTAGCAGCTGTAAATCCCAACCCCACATCTCCCACTGCCACACTGGAACAGCTGCTATTCACCCTGCAGGTTTGCTCACTGACTTTTTAGAGCTCTGCATTACAAATATGAAACAAATATCATTCTAAGCTGGTACAGAAATAAAAATCAGAGCTTGATTCAGGACAGGGTGAAAGAGATTTCTTAAATCTACCTGTAGAGTTAAACTTCCAAAGGCATTTGAGTGTCTTTGGAGTGCAAGAATGAGCTTTTCAAGGTACTTAGAGGTTTATTTGCCATCAGAAGACACTTAAGTGATCCAATTTGCTAAAAACATTTCTATCAGTACAGTTTTCTTTCCCATGCAGATGTTTACAAATGGACATGATTGTTGTACAACAGTGCAAAAAGTTTCTCAACATTCCCAGCCTCAGCAGACATACAAATCCAAGACAGATGGAGGGTAAACTCAGACGGACTTGAACTTAAAAGGTTACATTTTCTTCTTGTTCCTTTCCTTTTTTATTCATTTTTTTTTTTTCAAAAAGGCAGGAGTGAAGAACAGGATCTGGAGGCTGTAAGGCAATAGCTGGAGGAAGCTGAGCTCTGCCTGCTGCCAAGTGTTATTAGTTCTCCTCACGACAACCACCACCACTTCCCCAGACACAGGATTTACCAACCACCACCTCCCCGGACATTAAACAAGCATAGCCCTGAAAAGCACCACGTGGCCATGAGGGACACTCCAGCCTCTCCCAGGACAGCCCCAGGGACAGCAGGCTGGGCTCACTCTGGTGTGCCCCAGGGTAGTGGGCTGCCATCAGGAGCTGCTGGAGAGCTCTCCCAGTCCCGTGGGAAACGCTTACTGGAGACAACCCCAAGCAGCAGCAGGAGCCTTGTTTACATGGCAAACACTGGGTGCACTCCCTGCCCTCCACTGGCAGCCAAACCACACCGTAATTCCTGGGCAAGCAGCTCGACTGCAGGAGGGATCAGAGCTCCCCACATCTCCACCTGCAACACAAGTGCAGCTCCTGAAGGCCACACAGCCAGGGCAGCTCTCAGGAGAGCAAACTGAGCACTGTCACACTGGGGCAGGGACATGGATGGGAAGAAAGGATGGGCCTAGAGGATAAAAGCCTCCTTGCAAATCCTTTGTGCTCTGGAGTGCCTGTGGATCCCAGCAGTCATCCTTTGGTTTCTCTCTCTCTCTTAGGTTTATCTGGAGTAATGGCAGCAAAGTGGAGATAGGTTTGTAGGGAAAAGGCAGGATTATTTATTGGTTTTGCTCCTCTACCATGCACTTTGTTGCAATCCTGTGCTCTAGTGCTAAGCTGAGAAAACAAGATAAACACCAGTGACCCAAGTTCCCCCTGCTGCATCCCTGCCTTGGACAGTCCAGAGATTTTTACTGGAAGTTAAACACTCCAACAACCCAGGTCTGCTCTGCAGTGAGCCCCAGAGTGAGAAACCCAGGAGCAGCACAGATTTTGTGCTGATGATTAGAAGATGCCAGTGGAGACCAGCCCAACCTTTGGCTGCCAGCTGGGGGAAGAGCGGGGTCAATGGGAGGTGCAAATCTGGACAGGAGCATCAAACACCTTCCTCCTCCTGCTACCTGGAAACACAGTGCTGACTTGGCAGGGCCATGCCTGAAGGCAATACCTCAGGAGCTCTTTTTCCTGACAGATAGGATATAGACAGTTAAAATAGTGCACAATGAGCGGGTTTATGGCACAGAAAACTGATGACAAAGTCCTTCAGTAAAGAACATGTGATCAGTGCTTGTTAACCAGTGATAGAGGACACAGCAGCTCCTGAGTGTAGAACCTCCTGGCTGGTGGCAAGATGAGGACTGTGGTGGCACATTCCAGCTGGAGCACAGAGCAGAGCCAGGCCCTGAAGTGAGCTCCTGGATACAGTCACAAGAACAACTGCAGGCTCAGAGAGACTTGCTGACACCAAACTGTAACACCCTGAAGGGAACAGCCAAGCACTTATTCACCCACCAAGGAGATGAACACTGCACTGTGTAACTAAACTGCGCCCCAAGCTGGGCTAAGGTCACACCTGGGCTGCCAGGTCAGTTCAGGTACAGCTCTGCTGGACCTGCAGCCAGCTTGGGAAAGGTGATGGAAAGGCACCCAGGGAAACAGGCAGGAAGTGGAGAGATGAAATGTGTTCCCCAGCTCAAATCTTAAGTGATGTCCCAAGGTCTCACTAAAGGGGTAAATCAACTGTAATCTCCTCTGGCCTTATTTGCTGCATTCAGACAGGCAGGGCAGGCAGCCTCATCCTCTGCATTCCAGTTTGCTGCCTGAGCAGAAAGATGAGCTTCATGCCAGCAAAGCTGCTGAGATTCCCCCATTTTGGGGGGTATGTAGGCCCATTTCCATTATAAATCAGTGTCATCTCCTGTCCCTGCATCTGTATAAGACACGTTGACTGTCTCCTCTGCAGCTGGAGATGGGGAGCTCTCTGAGGCGAAGGACACTCCCAGCCCTCCATGCTGCTCATCTGGGTCAGAATCTTCTTCCTCCTCCTCATTCTTCTGCAGATCTTGGTCACTGTCATCATCATCATCATCTCTGCTGCTGCATGGTTCTCAATCACTTCAACCCTCTCTCCAGCCTCTGGATCCACATCGGTCTTAAACCACACAGCTTTGTAGCCATCGTCTGCCACGTGCCTGTCTGTCTTCAGGATGGACTTCACCTCTTTCTCCTGTCCAGTCTCTTCTTCCTCTTTTTCCTCTTTGTCTCCCTGGTTGGAGGTGGTGCTGGAAGCCCTGGAGAGACTCTCAGTTTCTCCTGCATCGTGGGAGGGCGAGGGAGGTGCTGGCTGCTCTGGCACACCGGACTCTGACCGGACACTGCCGTTTTCTGATGTCTGATCCTGTGTGGTGCTCACGTCTGGGTATTCATATTCCTGGTAATATTCATTGTGGTGACCCCCAGAGATTTCCTTGGAGAGCTACAGGAGAGACACCTTGTGATTGTAGTGACAGGAACACAAATAGGGGGTGGCAGGGAAGGGGTGTCTGAAGTGACTGAGCTCCTGCCCAGGGAAGCTCAGCTTGGTTTGCACTCAGACCTATTTGAAGCCAGGGAAAGATGCAGCTCCCTGGAACAGCCACTTTTTACTGACTCCATTTCTGGAGCTTTCTCAGGGCAGTGTGGGCATGTTTTCCAGGAAGGCTGAGCACCAGCACTGTGCACTGATCTGCCCCCATCCGTGTGAGGTGTTACTCTGGAGGGGGATTCACCTCACCCAGGGGGAAGGACTGTTGTTCTCCACCTGAGCCATGTGCTCTGCACTCATGTCTAGGCTCCTGGCAGTCCCATCCTAAGGCACAGACCAACATCTGGTCAGACAAATTACACCCTAAACTCTAAGAAGCAGTCTGCCAGGGGTCTGAGAGGTCCAAAAGTAAATAGCTGAAGTGCTGACAAGTGTCTGAGCCCAGGCTTCTCAAATGGGAGGGCCCTCTCCCTCCTTTGGCTATGGAGGGAGGATGAACTGTGGTTTATATCACAGACATGTATTTTTCAGAGACCACCTCTGATATGTGTCACATTCATCCCAGATTTTGTGCTGTGTCCTCTCCCCATGGAGCTGGGGTCCTCTCCTTACCGTGTCTGCTCATCATGTACCACACAGCTCCAGCCCAGGAGGCAGAAAAGAGCAGCAGCAAACACCACCAAAGTGATGTTACCTGTGCAAACATTGTCTTGGGAGTGATTTTCCACCTTCACACAAATGCCTGCTATTTGGGCAGCCCATCCATTCTTTAAAACCTCCTCAGATGCCACTTTCTAACTCTTAGAAATTCAGGTACAAACAAGGCACTTACCTTCTTCTTCAGCAGGTGTTTGACAGGTTTTCCATACCATTTACTGGATTTCCACACCAGCACTCCAAGGAAGACCAAGGCAATTAAGAGCAGTGCTGCTAAGGTGCCCCCTAGGATAGCCATGTCCTGAGCAGAGTACCTCTTATCAGAGGGGGTTCCAGCTATGAGGCAAACAAACCAGTGTTACAGAGCCCAAGCTGGCAGCCAGTGTGTTTAACACAACCTTTCAGTGGGGGAGAAGAGGCAACCAAATTTGGAAGGGCAGGGAAGCATCCTGTGCTGCAGAATGTGACAGGGATATATTTGATATCACAGAATACCATCTTTTTGCTGTCCTAAAAGCAGAGGAGGTGGTTTTTTTATTACATAGAATATTGTAATTTCCAGTAAATTCCATGCAGTGAAAGTAGTAGCCATTCACAGGACAACGACTATGTTTTCCAGCTTCATTTTGTAGTGTAAATGACTCTGATTAATGATTAATGATTAACGAATCACAGTTTTGTTCTCCTCCTGACTGTTCACGATAATGGACTTTGAGCATCCCTTCCCTCAGTTTATCATTAATGCCCTGGCTTAGCACCTCAGTGACTTTTTGCTGCTTGCTCACGTCTCCTGGGGAGCCACAGCCCAGAGACTGTCCCAGAGCTGTGAAAGGTCTCAGGCAGCCCTTCTTTGCCATGACAGGACACCCTGGGTTCTTCCCCAGAGTGAACCAGCCCCATATTTAGCTTTGCAGTAACAAGAAAAGGCACCACAATACACAGCACCACTTAAGGTCTCAGGAGGCTGTTTGAGGTGTGTAAGGATGTTGTTGGAGTGTTTTCTCTGTTAAAGCCCCACCACGGATGGGGTTGGCCCCAGCCCAGGCCCACAGACCCAGCAGGTGACCTGTCAGGGCCACTCTGCCCAGAGGAGCAGAAAAGACTCCCCAGTCATCTCCAGAGAGCAGTACCCAGAGCCCCCAGCCTACCTGTGGCCGGCAGGACCTCCACCTCAATTACAGTGCTTGCCTCCTGCAGGCTCAACACATCTTTTCCAACAGCCTATGGAACATGGGAAAGAGGGACTTAGGGACTTCCAAATCTCCAGCTCACCTTCCAGGTTTGGGGGGGGTCCTCTGAGGACAAAGTATCTTGTCCATCTCCCCACCACAGCCCTGCACAGGGGCTGGACAGCCTGGTCACAGAGGAAGAAGAGCTCTGAAGATGGATGAGCTGAGCCAGGTCCACGCTTTGTGCAGATCTCCCAGCACAGTGCAGTGCACAGGTACTGAGGGGGTGTGGGGCAGGAGCTGGCACCTCTCTGTGCCCTGCCCGTGTAGCTGCAGCAATGCTGAGGTCAGGCTGGCTCAGACAGCTCCACAGGGCATGGCACTGTGCCAGGCAAGCCCGAGGGACCCCACTGGGCCTGGCAGGCAGATGGACAATGGGAACATGCAGCCTCTTTCAAAGCCTGAAGTTATTAACTGCTTCTTTTGGCCCCAGTAAACAAAGCACTGGAATTCCCCTCCTTCCACAAGCCTGACAAAACAAAGCAGAAAGCTGCCCTACCTCGATGGACACAGTTCCTGGGGACTGCAGCACCACGTTGGTCAGGATGAGTCCGTCTCTGGTCGCCGTGAAGTCGGTGCTGTTCTTGATGTAGTACTCAATGTTTGGGTTGAATTTCTGAAAAGCCAGAGAGTGATGCTCAAACCACACTGTGCTGCACATGAACCGCCCTAACACCCCCTTGGCAGCACTTGTCCAAGGCACCTGAGGTACGAGCAGGTGTGTGGTGCAAAAAATGCATCTGCACTGAGCAGCTGAGAAAGGCTGAACTCACCTGTGTCCCCCTGGTGCTCAGAGTATCACAGACACCTCAAAAAAATTCCCCAGTCTCACCCAGCTTCTGTTAGTAACGTTACTGTTTGCCCAAGCAAAATATATCTATGCAAGGGATCCATGTGGGACTGGCTTTGGAAGAGGGGCTGGGTAGCTTTTCCTCATTACATCACACCATAAGTGGTACTGATCTGTGTGGAATTTCCGAGGAAGTATAATATGGAATACTAGCGGAAAACACGTGTTTGCCTGTCCCCAACTCCCCTTCCTCCTGTTTGCTGATCCTGCTTTGAGCCCAAAGCCGTAAAGAGCAGCCGGTGCATTTGCAGTCTCTTACATCAGGGAAATCCTCATCGGCCGCCGTGATGCTCAGGGGGGTGGAAGGATCTCCAGCCTGGAAGACGAAGCTCCTGGGGGGCAGCCCAACCGCCACGGTGCCGTTGTAGAGCCCCCTCTCAAAGTGGGGGGGATAAAGGCTCTTGTTGATGACCTTTATCTCTACAGTGGCTACCGAGTATTTTCGGACGTTGTTGGCCTGGGTGGCCTGGGGAGGAAGAGAGACAGATGCCAGGGAGATGCTTCTCCTGCTCGTGAGGAGACATGAAAAGACAGGTCTGACACTGTCCCAGCTCGGCAGGATGTCCCCATTCCATGACTTTCCTTTGCTGTCACCACCCACACCTGAGGGAAAATCTCTTAACTGCTGCAAGGGCTTTGACGTGGGTTGGTGTAAGACATGGATCACATACTGGGCCCTTCCAAAAGAAAGGGAGGAACTGAGTTATTCTTAACATCACTGACTCCTGTCACATCCTGGCTGCTGCTTCCCAGAGATCCAGCTGTGCTGTCTGCAATGGCCTCACTTACCATGACTTGCAAGAGGAAGGAGTCTGGGGAAGTCACTATTTTGTTCATAGTGAGATTCCCTGTGTCTGCATCCACTGAGAACACTTCATCTGTATTCCCTGGGGAAAATGGAAAGGCCATTCAATCATCAGATTCCTTCAGACAGTGACCTGGGGCTCACAGACTCATTCTTTTCCATCTTCATGACAATATCCCCAGGACACAGTGCCCTTTTCCTTGCCTGCCTGGGTGCTCCAAGGGTGGGAGTGCTGTCCAAGGACTCAGAGAGACAGAGCACACGTGTGAACCCAATTAAATGAGGTAGGACAGCAAAGCTTTGCATTTCCAGTGCCTGGGCCCAGATATTATCAATTTAAATTCTGATAAATGCCCAGAGCCTCTGGTGCAATTTGAGGACTGGAAGTCTCTACCCAGTTCTCATTTTGTTCTGGGAATGCTTATTTCTCTCTACTGGCTACAAAGGGAGTGTAGACACAAACCTTGTATTGATGTAGGGGTAGAAATCAGGTTCCCACATGTGTGTGTGAATCATAAAAGTACCTATGTTGGACATATGTCAAAATATAAGCAGAATTTTTAGTTCTGTTCCTCACTCTGAGACACTGTGGGCTCTACTTAGACCAAGGACCCCCAGACTGGGGCTCCCTGTGGCCTGTGGGGTAGGGAGGCCACATGCATCCAAAATGCCAGTGGAATTAAAGGTTCTTTGATGTTTTGTTATCAGGAGGATATTCACTGCTGACTGAGGCACAGCTAAAGGGAGAGGAACACTCCACCTGACCAACAGCTTCTACCTTTGCCTTGAAAATTATGCAGAACCCCACTATTGCTAAAATAAAACAAAAAAATAAATCCTTTGATTGACTTAAAGGGCTCAATCGGTGATTGGCAATCAGTTGACTGTATTCGAGTGATCTTCTTGAAATCAAGACTAAACCAGGGTAGGTGAGGCAGTGCCAATGTGCTGGGGAATAAAAACACAATTCTTGGCACTGCACGAAAATCATGGCTGATAAAGTGAGAATTTTAGGTTCATCTTAAAGACTAAATGAAAGTGGCATGACCAGACTGGCATAATCATGTCTGAAAACTTAAAAGATAAAACACGTCTCACCTCCCCCAAAAAACAATTTCATTGAGATTGGACTGTGGGACTGTAATTCTCTTTTTCTTCCTCTCTATACAGTCTATTTCTTCTGCTTAATCCACAATGTTTTGTGGATCTCACAGTGTTTCTGTGGCACACACGGGGACAAATGCCCAGGCCCTGAGTGAGGTGCCATGGGGGTCCCATGTAGGGGATGTGAGGAGTGCTCTTTGGAGAAGGTGACAATGTGACAATGCCCACTCACCCCCAACGATGCTGTACAAGATCTTCTCGTTTATGGTGGAGTCAGGATCAATGGCATAGATGGGACCTGGTCTCAGGATCAGTGGCTCCACCTGCAATGAGAAGGCAAAGCCTCACAAAGCAGCACTAACTCAGCCATCTGAGCTCCCACCATGCAAGCGTGGCTCCGGTGGCTTTGTGTGGGCAGAAGGGGGATTATGGCTGGGACACGGGAGAGGGGAGCCAGCCTTGGGAGTGGTGTGCTGCAGGAGCAGCAGCAGCAGTGCTGCTTGGGGTGGGGAATTCCACCTTTCGGGGTGACAAAGGCTCCCTGTCCTGCAGCACCATCTGCACTGTAACTGGAGACCAGCGGGAGCTCATGGAAGTTATCAGCACTTCCCAGTGGGAACAGCCTCGGGGCCCTGTGTGGTGGCTCCTGCTCACCGCCATCTCTGAGATGTTGACGGTCCCGGAGTAGGGGCTGCTGATGCAGACGCTGGTGTCATTGTGGAGGAGGACACAGGGCAGGAACCAGGGTGCTCTGGTGTCTGCTTGTGTGATCATGATGGTTATTGTTGCAGTGGCTGTTCTGGTGAGGTCGGGGCTGCCCACAGGCCTGTCCTGCACCCGAAGGCAAAGCACACTCTTGAGATGTCAGTTTTATTGCCAAAACAAGGGCCCATCTGCCACAAGCAGTGGCCCAGGGTCCTTTAGCCCTTGTCACTCCACTGTTTAAGGTGTAGCAATTTACGTGAGATTGGCTAAAGCACAGGGTTGTCTGCTTCTGCTGACAAAGGTGGGCCGACTGCAAGTGCGTCCCTGTAATTGTGGAGGGTGAAAGGCTGCTCCAAGCCTAGCACCCACCCTCCCTCTGCCGCCCCAGAGATCTCCCATCCAAACCCACCCTTCAGGTAGCAGACACTGGGCTAACGAGGCATTCTGTTCCTCCCCAAGGACTTACCCTTGCATACAACAGCAACCTTGTCGACTGAAATTTATCATAGTCCAGTGCTTTTTGTAAATAAATTTCAGGGTTATTAACTCCTTTTATGGCAAAATAACCGTCTGTGCCCTGACAAGGGAAAAGAAAAAATCCAATAGCAGACTCAGTCACAGACATGTTCCAAATCCTGCTCATTGCTGTGTCTGTCATCTCAACTGCACCTTTAATCCTGGGGACCTGCATGGGGGGGCAGTGTGGGAATGCTGGATCTATTTAATCTCTGGGACTGCTCACTGGAGTTGCCTGGCTTGTCAAAAAGTGTGTTCCTCCTCCTGGATGAAATCTTTTACCTCATTTATTTCCTACACTCAACAGGTTGCCAACAAGCCTTGATTTTTGGTCCCTGACAGCCAAGCAATCTCACTTCCATGCACAAAACAGGTCAGAGATGGCTCAGCCTCTGAGGGCTGGCAGGATCACCTGCCTTAGCCTCATGCAGCTGGACCTTGGAAGAAACTGTAAAGCCACGCTGAAGAACGTACACTGCAATTTCCTCTACAGCCTTCTGCACTTGCTTTGGCTCCCCTTTAGTCTTAGGCCTTGTCTGCAATTCCTTTGAGTTCCTCAATCCTCTTGGTTTACACCAATGTGAATGCAAAGTCTGCTCCCAGAGCTGAAATTCAGAAACTGGTGGTTTCTGTTTGCAGTCCCTAAAATCCCTGGGCTTATGGAGGTAACGGATGCAGGGTGTCAGGCACTGGTTCTCTTGCTTTAGCTTCTGTTTGCAGTTTCTAGCCAGCCCTTGCACTGCAGGCTGGCATCAGGGACTGTGTGCACAATCCATTTCCTCTGCTGCAGTTGGCAAACAGGGCAAGGGCTCCATTTCCCATCTGAATCAGGGCAATTCTGAGCTCCCTGAGGTACAAAGGTCTCCTGATATGTTTACAGATCATCCCAACAAGACTTCCCTGAGTCATACAGCTCTGAATATCCCAGATGGAAGTTTAATCTGTAAAGTGCAATAAAAGTGTGAGCAGTGAGAGGATTCAATACCTGCAGCATCGATGGCTCTGTTCTGTTAACCAAATGAGTGTTTGGGGTTTGTAACAGAGGAGAGCTAAATGCAATGACCTCTGCCTGAGAACTGGGGCTCTTCTGAATCCAGCTTCCCCAGAGCTACTGCTTCTGGCCAGAGATGCTCACCTGCACTGTGGCTGTGAGTTCATAGTAGATGACGTCCAGGTCAGCATCGGTAGCGCTTAAATCTTCACGGGCCACAACGGTTGCATTCACTTCTGTATCCTGAAAAAACACATTGCTGGGGTTATTCTCTGTGTGAAATGGGCTGAAGCCTCTCCCTGCTGACCCTTCCCCAGTCCCAGAACACCGAGTGTCCCAGTGCCCTCCTCCATTCCCAAAAGCACTCACCTCTCGGACAAACCTGGTGAGATTCGGCTGCGGAAACTGCGGATCGTTGTCGTTTTCGTTGAGGATGGTGACAAAGATTTCCAAAGAATCGCTCTGCAGAAGGGGCAAAGGGAGAGAATCAGAGCCAGAAAGAGGCTGTCGGGGCTGCTCCTGCTTTGCAGAGGGACCAGAGGGGATGGTGTAAGGAGCAGGGCTGGATGGGGCTGGGAGAGTGGTGTGTGTGCCCACAGGGGGAAGGACACCTCCCCATGCCGGTGTGGGAAGAACAGAGGGAGGCACGTGCTGGGTGCAGACCCTCGTGCTGGGGCTCACCTGGCCAGCAGAGTCCTCACAGATCAAGCTCACCACCAGCAGGGGGTCTTCCTGCAGGAAACACAAACCCACCAATGCAGAAACAGCCAACGTGTGCAAACTCCTTCCAAAGCAAAGGACCCAAATTTATGCCTTGCTGAATCAGGAATGCTGATGGGCTTTATCTTGTTTTCAGGTGTATCTAACTTTTCCTTTCTTTCCTTAGTGCTGGGATCTTGTTTACGATGGAGTCAAACCAGCCCAACCTTCCAGCCTCTCTCCCAGCATCTCCTGTAAGATGCTAACAGAGCTGACCTGTCATTTTGTCCCACTTTAGGTGAATTCAGATAGAGATTTCTTTTTAAATTGAATGAATCAGAAATGTTCCACGTGGCAAGTGCAGTGTCATCTGTGGGGTGTTAACTCTGGCTGCTGCTCTTGGCTCAAATAAATGTGGGGTTTTACACTGAAAGAGAACTTAAGGATGGTTGTGGCTGTACACAGAGCACTCCAGGGAGGGAAAAGAATGCAGCAGCAACCTAAATGAACCTTTTATGCTGCCTTTCAGCTTCACACAAGATCACAGGATCACAGAATGGTTTGGGTTGGAAAGGACCTTAAAGCCCTTCCAGTCCCACCCCCCTGCCATGGGCAGGGACACTTTCCACTAGCCCAGGTTGCTCCAAGCCCCGTCCAACCTGGCCTTGGACACTTCCAGGGATCCAGGGGCAGCCACAGCTTCTCTGGGCAACCTGTGCCAGGGCCTCCCCACCCTCACAGGAATTGGGAATTCCTTCCCAATATCCCATCTAGCCTTGCCTTCTGTCAGTGGGAAGCCATTCACCCTTATCCTGTCACTCCAGGCCTTTATCCAGAGCCCCTCTCCACCTTTCCTGCCAGTCCCTTCAGGCACTGACTCACCTCATAGTCCACCACCTGGGTGAGCAGCAGCTCAGCCCCCTGGATGGCGAAGAACCTGCTGTCGGGGAAGCGGGGGTCGATGGAGACGGTGAACCCTGGCTCCACGTGGATGGTGGTCACCACGTAGTTAGGGGGGTTATTTTCAGGAACTTTCGGGTTGCTGTCACTGACAGAACATCCTGGAAAGACACATAGATGAGATGGGAAACTGCCTGGGGATTCCCACTGGGAAGGAGTTGGTGTGAGCCAAGACTCTCTGGTCCCCTTGGAGTGGTCACTGAGCAAAGCCACTACCTCCCACCTGTATCCCACCACTGCCTGGGGACACTCCCCAGTGCCCATGACCTCCTGCAGGAGCTTACCTTGCTGCTGTGCTGAAACTCGTGTCATGAGGGGCAGAAGGAAGAGCACAGGTGTGAGGAGCCAGTGAGAAACAGCCATGGGGAGCTGCCAGTGGCTGAAGAATCCCTGTTCCAGCTAAGCTGATCCTCTCTCCCCGTTTCTCCCGGTGCTGTCTCCTGCACTCACAGCTTTGTGACGGCAGAAACACCCACTGGAGTGGATTGCTGAGCTTCAACCTTTGCCTCCTTGCCTCATTGGATGAGTTGTTGAAAGATTTACCAGTCATGGAACATGATGACACGTACATTCCTGTTCCTTCTTCTTTCCCTGGGTCTATCCTGTCCTGAACTCTCAGTGGCAACGAGAATGTATCTGAAGCATTTCAGAACTCAGGGCCAAGCCCTCCCCACTGAGATGAGCATGAAGGACAAGGGTTGGCACTTGGGAAGCTGCCTGTATTCTCCAGCCTCTCCCAGTGGGAAGGTTTCTGATGTGCCAAAGACGGGGTCTGTATCCCACAAGGTGAGACGAGTAGATCCCGACAGGGACAAGGCTCAGCAGCCCAGGAATTGCCCAGCAACTCTGTAAGGAAAACATGCCTCCTCCTACAAGTGGCCAGTAGTGGCTCCTTAAAGGGATGCCTGCCAGAATCCCCTTCCACTCTGCTCTCACTGATTCTTTTAAATTGCCAGCTGATTTCAGAAGGTTCTCATCTTCTGCACCTCAGCCAAGTGGCTGTTAGTGGCTCAGTGAAATCCAGGCTGTCAACACTCCTTCCAAAAGGAATCTTTCCTAGCAGAGACTTCCTATGGACCAAAATAAACAATTGCCAGGTTTGTTTGGCCCCTCAGTAAGGGAATGGTGCTCAGGTGAGCTCTGGAGTGGGAAGGGCTCCTTTGCAGATGTCAGGTACATTACAGGTGGTGAAAAGTGCTGGAGCAGCGTGGGCTGAGCAGGGCTGTGCTCAGCACAGGACTGCAGCTGAAGATCCTTCTTTTAAAGCTGCTCTCCAGAATCTGTTGGTTTTACAGGAAAGCTGGAGTGGCTGTTCTATCAGAGGAGGGAATCTGCGTGTCAACAGCGTGTAAACCTCATTAAGCGGTGGGAACAAATTCCTCCATGTGGAACTCTGTCTTTAGTGGCTCTGAGAAAGCTGGGCCAGCAAACCCAGGGGCAGAATGGAGTGGAAACAACATTTACAGTGAGTATCTCTGTTGTGTAGCTCTCAGAACATTTCTTTGCCACAGAATCTGACACCTGGCTGAGTTCCTGCTCCATGGATTCTGACTCTGTGCACAGCTGGACTGTGGGCACTCCCAGCGTGCCTCATGTGGGGGGATCCTGCATTCCAAGGGTAAGGCTACCACCCTTCTTCCAGTTTCCCAAAGAGGAACCAAGGCACAGGCACAGCTAACCAATCTTTATTTGGGACCAGCAGCAGGCAGCCAGATGCCAACATGCAGTGGAAGGGATGTGCTTCACCCAGGCTCCATCTACTGACAGCAGTTCACACCCACACACATTTCACTTTGGGCAATCTAAGAGGTTTCATCGGTGTTTGGCTGCTTTTCAGGAGTATTTTTATTTATTTGCCAATCTCAAGAGTTTTTCCTAAGTAAATTCAGGAGCTTCCCTGTTTATTGTCAAGGCCATACACATGCAAAGCCGTCTCCTTGGCTGGTTTTTTGCCTTCACCTTCAGTCAGAGCCATCTGTATCTTCCTTCATGTCTGCAACCAGCAGCTTAGAGATGGGGCAAAGGTACTGGCTGGTGACAGCAGCAGCTTCCTGGGCATCTCTGTCCGAGTGGCTGCAGGGAGGCAAAAGTGAGGGAGAGTTCCTTATTCCTGGGGGCCTGAGCTGCAGGAGGTGTGACAAAGCCACCGTGGGAAATTCAAGGACAGAGGGACCATGACTGCCTGCAGCCGGGCACCCCACAAGGGCACAGGGGGGGTTTCATCCCCACTGTCGTCAAGAGGTACTAAGGGCCAAGCTTATTCCTCATCATTTTAGGGATTTGAGAGTGAGATGTCTAAGTGGAAGTGGTTGGTCAATAGGAAAAGACAATATCCAGGTGCTAGGACAGCCCATCCTCAGGTCTGTGTTTGACAGGGTAGTAAAGGTTTTGTTTCCATTTTAACTGTTAGGCTGGGTTTCCTAATGGGATGAGTAATTGCGTCAGTCCAGGATAACAACTCTATGATTAGGAAAAGACATTATATCATTTCCATAGGTCTTATAATTTTTAATAACTGCCTTTTCTAGGGCCATTTATAAAAGTCCTTTTTGGCTTCAGTACTGTGGGGCTCAGGGCCACCTACCTGGTGTTCAGAAAGCTCTGGTACAGCCAGAGAAAGCAAAGTTCCTTAGGGCTGTCCTCTCCCTCTCTCTCCTGCATATCTGTGTTGACCGGGCCAGGAGAGCTGGTTTAGATAAAGAAAATTAATAATAATTAAACAGGCCAAACCACATCAGTGTAAGCACCACAGCTGTGGAGCAGCACGTGCCCTGTGCCTGATGCTGCTGTGCCACAGATGTGGTTCAGAGGGGGCTGGTGGCCCAGGGTGGCAGGGACAGCCGGGGGGGCGCGGTGGCTCCCCGAGGTTTCCCCTCACCTGCGCTTGCGGCCCATTAGGTTTTGGATGAACTTCTGCACCTGGGCATTCCCTCTCATCTTGCTGTACTCGCTGGTGAACAGCCCATCTGAGTGTCGCTGGGACCTGGGCCAGGGACACGGGGACAGCGGCTGCTCAGCCCCGGGCAGCCCCTCAGGGCTGGGATCCCTCTCCCCTGGAGGCTGCCTTGCCCCTGGGGTGGGCTTGGCCGGTGCTCACCTGTCCTTGAGCCCCACCAGGTGCTTGACCAGCTGCCTCACGTAGGCATTGCCGTTCATCTTGCTGAGCTCGCTGTGGAACAGCCCATCGGCGTGTCGCTCCATCCTGGGGGGAGAGGGAAGGGAGGCTTCAAACCAGACAAGAGCAGGCATTAAACACTACTCCCTCAAGGAAACAGGGTACCAAACACACAGAGGCAAGAATTTGTGCCACTTTGGCGAAGTTTCACCAAAAAAAGGGAAAAACTCACGGGAGTCTAAAAAATATCTTTGTTAACCGTCACACAGAAAAACGAGCTGCACTTGCTTTTAGTGATGTAATCACCTTGCCACAAGAATGTGGAAATGTGAGGTTAGTGCTGGTTCAGCACAAAAGAGTAGGGCAAGAGGCTGGAGAAGTAATAAGACACAGCCAGAGACACAAGCCTGAGGAACAGGTAGATAACGGCAGTGGTGACAAAGCCCAGCCCTTGCCAGTGACTCCTTTGGTGAACTTGGTGAACTTACAGTGTTGGCTATTTCTGGCTATGTTTCCATGGGGCCAGGCTATTGGAAACAAACTTCCACCTCTATCAGGCTGTGTAACTACACAGCAGGAAAACAGACTCAAAAGCGACTTTTTAGCTTACTTTGATCTGTTTGGGGTCATGATTTTCCTTTTGCATTAAGTTAAATCAACATTCCCATTCTTAAGCAAGAAAAAAATCTTTACAACATTTGCACTCATTTAACTAAATAAATGTAGGGAAGCCAAAATCCACAGCCAAGCAGAAGCAAGTTCAGGAAGGCAGATAAAAGGCTGGGTTTACAGCCAGCAGGCTCTTGGAACAAAAACCAGGGAGAAAAAGGAGGCAGAGTCCCAGGGAATGCTCACCTCTCCCGGGATGGCAGAGATGCTGAGAAGTGGGACAGCACAATCATGGGAATAATGACCTGCCACAGAGCTGTCATCATGGAAACCATGTCCTCTCCTGAAAGCACAAGGTTCTGTGAGCATCAGGACAAGTGCCCTTGGGGTGTGTCTGGAGCAGTTCACAGGGACAGGGCTGTAGAAATACCACCACGGTCATTAAAGTGGGCAGGAATTCCTGCCAGCAGAGATAAACAGCTGGAGATACCTGGGAAAAAAATGTCATGTGCCCAATAAAATCCATCCACACATAGGGGAAGGGAAGGGCTCATGTGTGTGCCCATAGCTGCCTATCCTCTCCTCTTTCAAGAAGGAAAAAGAAATAACACACATTTCCAGTCACTGCAGACCCCCCTAGTTTGTTTTCTTACTGAAATAAAAAGAAAAGTACATGTTGTTCATCCCAAGCCAGGCTCTGCCCTGTGGCTGCAGAGGGGGGGGTGTGCCTGCAGGAGGGTGCTCACCTTTCCCCAGGGATCACGCAGGAGCCGTATCCGGAATACAGAACACACCTGCCTTCCTCCTGCAAAGAAACCAGCCTTCCTCACTGTCCTGCAGTCTCTCACACAGCACTAATCCCAAACCAAAGTCCTCCCACTTGGTTTTTACTTTATTCTGAAACTAGACAGTACAAAGAATGTGAAAGGACTGTCAGAGATTCCTGAACACTGTCCAGCCACCCTCCTGGGACTGTTTGCTGCTCTGGAGGTGCTGCAAGATGAGAAGAGGTACGAGAAGGAAAGACAAGAAGGGGGATCTATCCAGAAATTCATTCAGTGTAAACCACAGCACAAATATTTAATGGCAGCTGCAGAACAAACAGGTGAGAGGATGAAGGAGCCACAAGCTTCATCTCACACTTGTGTTTTCCTGCCTGATTCAGCTTTGAGGGGATGGAATAGTAAACCAAGGACATTTCCAAGGTCACTCTCTTATTGGAGTCCAAACTAGGCAGACTCCACAGTCCTGCAGAGGAGCTGAGAACAGCCACCAAACCCAGAGCTCAACACCCTTGGGGAAGGGGAACCTGAACCCTGAGCCTGTCCTTCCGTCTGTCCAGTACCTGCCACACAGTGCTTTGATCCCCAGGATCTCACCTTGGCATTTTGGCCTTCCTTGTGCTATCCCTGGGCTGGCATTTCTCTGGGAGTACCTATTTAAGAGTCCATTTTAAACCCCATCCCTGGCTCCAGAGCTTCCCTCCTCTCCAAAAACTTGTCTCTTTCTGGACATAACTTTTGCCCCAGAGGTGTGAAATCCACCACCCAAAACTGAAAGAGGGCAGAAGCCCAGCAGGACTCACCAACTGGTCGCTCGTGGCTCGCCGCTGGTGCTCCACTGGCCCACTCCTCTCATGGACCCCTATAAATGTGCTGCCCTTATCAGGAGCAATTATTTGGGTAAAGC